AAAAAAAATACTCATGGAAAACAGCAAAAATACTCATGGAAAACAAATAAAAAATACTCATGGAAAACAGCAAAAATACTCATGGAAAACAAAAAAAATACTCATGGAAAACAGCAAAAATACTCATGGAAAACAAATAAAAAATACTCAYGGAAAACAGCAAAATACGTCCATAGCTCCACTTTTCTAACTCTATCCAAGTTATGTAGATGCGCTGAATGTTTATTTGATTCTTCATCACAGACCAAAGCAACATTGTGAGTTTCCCATTTTTAACAGCAGATGGCAGCATTGTGCAGCTAGAATAATAATAATAATAATAATAATTTGTAGCTAAAGAGTGCTTTGAATAAAGTGATAAATCACCTTGGACAAAATTTTGGAGCACATTTGTGTGAATCATCTATAGCAGTGGTTGCTGAATTGAATAAGTTCAGATTTGTTTTTTGATTAATTTAATTTAGTTTTCCTGTTTCTTCTGTTGAATGATTTCTTTATTTATACAACCATTTGGCCCATGAAAGATTCAACTAAATAAACAGGGCCAAATTATGTTTTTATTAAATATAAAGTGACAAATACCCTATAAATTATCTGATAAATTGTTTCTTTATAATGTGCATCTTAAAACAGCTCAACCTTTAATATAATCAATAGGATTAAAAATATGTGTGGAACAAACAAATTGAAATGAATTAAATCCTGCTTGTGGTGCACGCGCCCTCATCTTCCTGAGTGACGTGGCTGTCAGCCAATCAGAGAGGAGACACGCACCAGCTGCAGGTCGTTCCTGAGCCGACGTGAGATGCGTGTGGTGGAGGATTATCCTCTGTCCTCATGCGCGTTCCAGCCCACCTCACTCGTGGAACAGGTGCGCGCAGAAAAAAAACGTGTATGTTTCCGACAGCTCGCTCACATTTAACCCCGTCTAGATCCGTCGGMTCGAGCGGTTTTTGCGCCTCCACCAATAAGCGCATCAAGGAGTCCGAACAGGTACCGACCGTCATCATGAGAGGCTTGGCTGGACGGACAGTGTGTCACTGGACTGTGGACTACCCTGTTCTGAGATGGACTGTAACTTAGGGCTCATTTCCACTTTAAAAAGATGTTTTTTCTACTTTAAATCAGCCACTATTTAACGTTCAACACGTTGCCTGCATGGGAGCGCGGCTGGAGCAGGTCACCAGTTCACCGCAGCCATAATTTAGGTAAGTGTCCTCATTAACTGTCGCATTCACACCCTGCACCGGACAAATAATGTCCTGTTTTACACACATCACAAACACTGAATAAAAAGATGGGTTTGTCATTGCATTTCAACTGAGCAGAAATTAATTATATTGTCACATATATATAATAGAACAAGTGCATCCCACTGTAATCATTTAGATTTTATATTTTTTTATATTTGCATACATCTCCCTCCACAAGGCTATATATTTTGCAATGTTTGTCAAGTTAAATAAACAAAACAGTCATTGGCCTAATGGGTCTAAAGAGATCAGCTTTATAATCCCCTCCTGTTCGTGCAAGGATTGGGTTTAGATTAGTGTTTTCAGTGCTGGGCCCAGTGACACAGTTCCAAGAAGTTTTGAAACACTGCTCTGGAAAAATATGGATTCACATCCATTGAACTTTATCACATTAATTCACAAACCTAAAAGTACTTGAATGGCATTTATTTTTGTGGTAGATCAATAGTGCGTAATTGGGAAGTGGAAGAAAAATGATGCATGCTATTCAAGGTTTTTAAAATTAGAAAAGTGAAGTGTGCGTTTGTATTCAGACCCTCTGAATCACTTGATCTGCAGGAAGTCTTTGTCTATCAGCTTTGCACACCTAGAGAACAATGCTTTTCTTTACAAAATAGCTCAGACAGATTAGATGTAGAGCATCAGTGGACAAATTCCTCCCACATTTCAGGACCACGGGGCTTCTTGGCTGCATGGGAAATTGTTTTATAACCCATCCTTGCTTTAAACCTCCCAACATTACTCCTGGCCTGTCTGGTGCATTCTATAATAAACCTCTAACAGTTGGATTTATCCTGAGATTAAATTACACAAACGTGGACTCTGTTAAGTGACTTTAGAAGGCAATTGGCTGCTTTGCATGTTATGCAATGGACAGATTTTATGAACGTGTCCAAATGTCCAAACACAATAAGTCTTGATAATCTACACTCCACATACAGTAAAGTCATTCATTTTGTTTGAATCAATGGGGAAACTGTAATCCAGACATATCCCAAGCATTTTGCTCATAACTCTGCTGTATTTTTGAGAAAGCAGTTGATGCCTGCTGATTAATGCTTGTCATAGAAAGCGTAGAGAGAAAAATAGTGCGGACAGGAACTATAAATCTATACATATGGTTGGGTTAATGAAGTAAGATGTTTGCAGACAAGTCTTAACAATAAGCTGTTTGTCGTGTGTTTGACCATGCCAACCGTTAAATTTACCACTGATTCATGAAAAAATATCTGATACAAACAACGTAATATCACTGAGCAAACGTGATGCCGCATGCAGACAGTGTCATGCTTATGGAGTCTTGTCAGCATCATTTTATTAGCTTCACCCTCGATGCTGCAGTCTAGATTGTGCGCGTCAGCTTGTGTTTGGATTTTGTCTGAAATCCTTCTGAAGATCTTGTTGATGCAGCCGGACAGAGACTGTGTTGTTTCTGAGTGAGGGAAGTGTTGGTTCAGGGCAAGCCTCTGTGTCAGCCTCACTGATGGCCATTTCCACAAGGAGCTGAGAGGACATGTGCGTGTGTGGTCATTAGTATGCCGCAAGTGAATAATATGGTAATTAGCCAGATTTCTTGCAGGATGTACTGCAGGCATTTTCCACTCTGTAAAAAAAGGTAGTTTATTTATTTATTTATTTATTTATTTATTTTGCAGTTTTACCTAAAAAGTTTGTGTCAAAATGAGAACAATCAGACATTGTCAGTGTTTCCCAAACTACTACACCTTCTAATGCAGGGATTTTCAAAGTACAGTATATGAACGTGAGACCCACCTTAGTGAGCAAACAACTGGAAATCCTAATGTAAGACATGCAGTGTGAACATTAAGTCTGACATTATTTCTCCACGTCCTGATTCACCCCACACCCCCTGTCAAGACCTCTTGCACCCCCTTAGGGAGGCGTGCCCCACAGTTTTTAAAGGGGCAATATCATGTAAAATAGACTCTTTTGAGTTTTATATCATCTTATAATGTTATACTCATAAAAAAAAAAACACGACAGCCTTGCTTTGACTCATTCATGCATGTTTGAGAAATCCTGCAGCGTTTTTAGGCAGCCATGATGAGGAGCAAAACGACAGGTGGGGACTAGAAACGCCTTTGGGTGCCAGAAACGCCCCTGGGACGTGTCTTTAAGACAAACTTCCTCATGGCAGAGCACCCCCCCCCCCTCCCCACACAGCCTGCCCATGACTCCTGCAGGCTCTCGGGTGAAAGTGAAAGTGAAACCTAACTGTTTGCTGAGCTCTCAACATTAGTTCTCACTCAGTGAAGCTTTTTTCAGATTAAAAATATCTTTCAGGAAATGTATTTTCGGATGGCAAGTAAACTGCATCATAGCGCACCCGGCCGAACGGGACGGGAGCAGAAGGTAGTTCGTAAAGAGACAGAGGCCAACTTCAAGGCGTTTAGAGGGGGAAGTGATGAGAAGATAAGTTTATTTTCTATTTAAACATAAAAACAGCATTTTAATAACAACTAAAGGTGACATAGATACTTCATTATGGTATAGTATTTAAATGTAGGCCTGAGAAATGCATAATATTGGCCCTTTAAAAACTCCTGTCCTAATGCGTTTATTGTATGTTGTGCTGATGCAGTTCTGAGGACTTACTATTTGTTCCTCTATCATGTTTTAGCAGCTCACAATGTGATACTTGACATCGCATTGTTTAGATGACACAGTAAACCTGCTTGTTTTGCCTCAGCGATTCCAAGGAGGACCATCAACCTGAAAATACTACTCTCTCCCCCCTGACACCCACTTATTAGATTACTGAAATATGTTCGATCTGTGAAACAGTCTGCAGATAAAAGGGTCGGTTCTTCAAACCGCACAAGCATTGTTCTCCTAGTCGTAGAGCTACAACAGAGGTAGCAGCCAGTTAGTGAAGATAAAATCTGTTTTGCAAGTAAACAATGTGATTTTTTTTATGTCAAGCTGGGCATAATCACATTGTGTGCAATTAATCATCAGTAAAACATTAAAATTTTTTATATTTGTCACTTTGCAATTACTACAGCTAATGCCGTGTAATGATAACGTGTCACTATCAGGCGTGCATGTGAGCCCAGCGATGGAAGGTAATGTGGAGCTAGCTCCAACCCTACAAACTTGTTTAATTAACCAAAACACCAACATAAACCGGAGTATGAGGAAAGCCTAGAAATGCGGACCAAGGCCAAYGTCGGCTACATGCAAGTGCAAACGTCATCTATAATTGTCATATTAATTATCGGCTAAATGCCACAATTGTGATTAAATTTAGGGTAATATTGCCCAACACTATCTTAAGCTAGTCGTCACAGGTGGCTGCAAATCCAAATTGATTAACTGGTTGACTTTCACTGACCTGGTTGTGTTGCTGCTTCTTTGCGCTGTTCCAATCAGCTTCCCTGTGCCAGATGTGGTGTTGTGCACACACCTTTTAAAGGTTAATTTAGCCAATTTTACTCTTAAATTATACTGTATTTGTTGCAGTTTAGTAGAGTTTTTGTCTTGTTTATGATTTAATAGTGAAGACAGGTTGCATTTATAAAATTATTTTCAGTATTTTACTTTTTTTAGGTGCATCAGTGACTTCAACATGTCATGTTAGCATCGTTGATTAGATCTAATCAGTAATGTTTTTTTTTTTCTAATGTCATGTAAAGGAAATGATCCATAGTGTGATGGACTGTATATTAAAGTCTGTATTTCTGTTATCAGTATGAAAGACCAATGATTGTATGTTTCGTATTTGTTAGACTGAATGTATTTTTCCACCATTCTATTTCCATACCACTTATATTTTTATGGGCCTTTCAGTCAACAAAAATGGTATAATTTCATTCAAGCAGACGTGCTGTTTTTTATCAGAAATATTGTGAAGCCCACATTCTATGCCAGGGAGATATTTAACCTCCTCAAACTGCCTCTGGTATCAAAGCTTCCCAGATGGTCGTAGCAGCTCTGCTGATGAAGTAGGGGAAGTCTTTAAAGGGGAAATGAGCACTCGCTCATCCTTTCGTATAGAAGAATGAGAAGGGTCAGTGGACAGATCAGTTGATGTATCTTTTTTACATTATTGTAAATTGAGTGTGCATGCATCAAGAGGGCAAAACCATGATTGAAAATGACAAGATTTTAATAAAGTACTTCAGAAAAAAAATGTGTATACATTTTGCTGTTCAATAAATTTTTCATGACCAAATCTTTAAAATTGCTTTAGCAYAAAAGGCTATTTATCAACTAATTTTTTGGTACATCTTGTGTAGATCAAAAGCCTGCAATGTTGTTAAAAGAGAGTTTATATACTGAATGCGTCCTTTTTTATTTTTTAGAAATATCAAGTTTGGTCGTCAGATTTGTTGAGCTCAGATGTCAGTCACAATGGAGACTTTTAATGACATTTTTAGGGCTGCACTAAAAGAATCGTACATGCAATTTTATTAAAATTGCGATAAATATAAACAAAATTTCCTGACGTTCTCTTTTGTCATCACTCAAACCAGATATGGTCATCAAGGCCAGTGAGAATTAATTAGATTGACCAAATATTACATTTGCTTGGAAAATGTGAATCCGTGCTGCTCGAACTATAATGGTTTGTGATTCATTGCAGTCCAAGCAGCCATTTACTGTTAATTGCACTAACTGGTATAGATGGCTTTAAATTTACAAAATACTCTGCCCTAGTTTGATTTTATTTGACATAAAATGCTCAGGGTTTATGYAAAAGGAAAAATATAAAGAATAAATAAAGTCTATAATGACATWTTGGATTAGTTTTACATTTTAAGACTTGAAATGAAAACGACAGAGACACTTTTTGTTTTTGGACTCGCATGACTCTAGTTTGTTGTTTTACTAGCCTGGATTGATATTTGGCATCTGGCTGTAATCTGCAAAAAACATATAGAAGTGTGGGTTTTCTCCAGGTGCACTGGTTTGCTCCTATAGTCTACAAACATGCATGCTAGGTTAAGTGGATACTTGAAGTAGTATCCTAAGTGAGAGTGTCAAGTTTTTTTTTTTTAGTTTGTTGTCTTTGTCACTGTCACTGTGATGGACTGACGACCTATCCAGGGCTTGCACTGCTCTCCACCACTGCTTGCAACTCTAAGCGAAAAAGAACAAAAAAAGAAAAAAACAATGTTTTGTCTTTATCTTTTTCCATCTTAAGGATGATGCCTCCTGATCAAGCATGCCTGGCCTCACCCCTGTGTTCTCACCCTATCGTCAGACTTGTGTCGCCGCACCGGCAGCCTGAAACCTCCTAGGCACTCGCTTTTATCTTCCCTCGTCTGTCTGCCTGGCTGACATCCCTGAGAGGTGATGCGACGGTTTGTTTACTGCAAGGTGGTGCTGACCACTTCCTTAGTGTGGGTCCTGGTGGATGTGTTCTTGCTGCTGTACTTCAGCGAGTGTAACAAATGTGACAACAGGAAGGATCGCTCTCTGCTCCCTGCCCTGCGAGGTAAGTTCACAACTCTGCCCGCACCTTTTCATCACACATGGGATTGAATAAAGTGTGAAGATCGAAGTCATTACATTTCAAACAGATCCGGTAAAGTTAAGATCTCTTGTTGCTTCTTTTTTAAGACTATCTGAATTTTTTAAGATTTTCAAGAATTTTCGCAGAAGTTATGAGGGGGAAAAACTCTTGTAGATTTTTTGATGTAGGGGAGAAAGCCAGAACCTGCCTTCAAAATGACTTTTTTTCAGTAATAAAATAAAAATACTAATAAAAAACCTTTTTTAGCAAACAAGTTAACATAATTAACATATGGAGATCACAGAACAAGAAGATGCATTTTTTAAAAAAATATTAGTATTTTTAAACTTTGTCATTGATGCTGCATTTTTGTATGTTCTGGACATATTTCCCACCATTTTTAATGCACTTGTTGCCCAGGTTGCAGTGTCACCGTGTGATAACAGAACTGCAAAGCTTTTTTCTTTACTTTTGAAATATACTAGTCAACACCAGGGSTGTCACTAGGTTTTAAGGACAAGGGGGGCTTAGCCCCCAGGAGACACACAGAATTTATTTATATATAAATTAAAATATTATATGGCCTTGAATGATTTAGAAATAACTATGGGAAATAATATATATCTGAAAGTGTAGGTATTGTTCTCTAAATAATGGTGTATGTATGTATGTATGTATGTATGTATGTATGTATGTAAGTATGCATACTGTATACACACACGGTATATAAAAAATATAATTTTTTTTACACCAAAATAATTTAGGGGGGCTTTAAAATATTTTAAGGGGCCTCCAGCCCCCCTAAAATAGGCCTAGTGATGCCACTGGTCAACACATTTCTATTCTAAGAGTGCAGTAGTTTTAAACAACAAGAACATACATTTTTACTTTTACATTTTCATATGGGGCCCCATCTGGGCCACACACTCAATCACAATGAGCGAGTAAATACTTTATTATATAGTGACCTTTATGGTTCTCAAGTTAAGTGCAAATCGAATCATCGGTTTTTAATAAAAAGAGCTGAGGCAGATGTAGAGCTGCTGGCATTGCAGGTGGAGGTTGAGAATGTAACGTACTTTTGAAAAATGAAGTTACAATACTGATGCTTTCTTTGCACAAGTTTTGTAGAAGTCAGATTGCATTTATTGTGAACTCAATTCTTAAAAAAATAATAAAATTCTGGTAATGTTGAATCACATTTTCTAGTAATGGGACAGGGAATGTCTTAATTTCTTTATTTTGTTTACCCCTGATAACTTTAAACCCCTTGTTTTCAATATTGATTTGTTTTGTGCGTGGGGGTAACATTTGTTTTCATAAATGCATTGTGGCGTGAACATTTTTCACMCAGATTATAAAATCTATAGCAGATAGCAGGTAGGATGTTTATCTGGAAATAAATTGGTGCACTTGATGATTTGAGTTATTGCTACCATATCTTCTCTGCTGACCTTTTTACATTTCTTTTCACCCAAATTTTAAAATCCATTCGTCTATTTTTGTTACCTGCTTCTTCCTTTCCAAGGCGATGTTACACATGCCCTGCAGTCTCTGGGTGAGAGGTGAGGTACACCCTGGACAGGTCGCAGGTCCATCACAGCTTTTTACAAACTGTATGTTCAAATACACATGGCATTAATAGGGTCCTCGTTTGCCTTTTCTTTTTAACATTTCACATCATACGTCATGCATTGTGGCCTTTTTTTGTGTCCTGGAGACAAAGTAGTAAAAAAAATATTTGAAAGTTTGAAACTTGAATATTTTCAAAAATGTATTGTGTTCATATTTAAAATACAATAAACTTTGTTCCTGGACTATGAGATCAAATTTGCATACTTCTGTACTATGACTTGTGTCCTCACATGTCGTTAAGAGAGCAGTTTTCTAAGTTTCTAAGAGGCTTACTAATCCTCTTTAAGGTTTGAACGAGGTAGAGCTGCCATCTATTTTGGCTCATTACTTCGTAAAGGTCTAATGTTGCAATATCGTTTTTTTAATRGGTTAGAACTTTCCTTTAATATATCTATATTTTTCAGCACTCTTTTTAAGCAGGAGCATCATAGATAAGATTTTCCCTTTTTTTTTTTTTCCAGCCCACACTTGAATGTACCCCTTTTAATCAAATCTGGTCGGGTCACAAGTCCATCACAGGACCAGTCACAGTCAAACGAGACCATTCAAACCCTCACCTAAGTAAATCTTCGAGTTTATTAATGAACCTACCATGACTGTTTTTGGTCTGTGGGAGAAAACCCGTGTTTGCACAGGGATAACACACAAAGTTCACCCAGAAAGGCTTCAGGCTGGGAGGTGATCCTGCGACCTAATCACTGTGAGGCGATCATTCTAGACTCTGCAAGGCCATATGCTGTCCAGAACTGGTCAGTTGCTATTATTAGGTAGTTTTTTTCCCCTACATTCTCACCAGTCAGGGCAAAGATAAAAAAAAAAACGGATGAGGATGTCCTGGAATATCTGGTACCAAGATTTTAGCAATAGGTCCTTAGGCTCTGTGTATTGTAGGATGTGGTTTCAGTGGATTTGGTTTGGTTCCCATCAGATCTTATAAATTTGATACCTTTTTCAAGTTTAGTGACGGTCTGAACCAATCTTTTTCATTGAGCCTTTCATAAGAAGCTTTTGCTTAAACCATTGCTTTCCTGCTGGAGTAAGGGGGAAAGAAGTGGCCAAGTAAGGATGCAATAGTTTTATATGAATGTTTAGTTGAGTATGAGCTGTCAATATAATATTTACATAATCATTTCTTCTAAAAAACATTGTGCTGAGATGAAATAAGCTGTTAATTTAGCTGTCTATGGCCATATTGTTGTGACCAATGCTGCATGTACAAATAGACTTACTTATACAGTGTAATATGAGCCTTTCTTGTACCCTTTTGTATACTTTGTACACAGCGTGTTTTTAATCGCATTACTTGGTGGATAATGACCTTTTAATATGTCAACTCTAAATTTCTGATTGGAATGGACATGCCTTGGCTCACATCAGCGCTTTCACTTTGACCTAAATTAACTTTATTACCATTTTCTCCTGGGTACAATGGTTATAAAAGACTTTGACTGAAAACAAAGTTAATTGGGGTAATGTTTGTATTATGCAAAGAAAATGGCTCTAAATAAGCTATTGTAGCAACAAGGTTTTGCCTACAGTGGAAATATGTTCAGTCCTCTTTATTTGCTTTGCACAAAGCTGTAACRAAGTTATTGAATTTTCTTTTGAGCTGGTGGCTTTAGAAAAGACATTAAAACAACAAAAGCATATGCTGTGATAGCTGCACTTTTAGTTTAGTCTGTGGGAATAAGCTGTTATACTTACCATAATTCAATAGAGGGCTTTCTTGTAAACATGTCTTTGTTTTAAACTGAGATTGATTTATATTTAAACTCTGCTGAATTAACCATCTGTTGCTTTGAGCTCCATGAGTTTCTGTGAATCAGCTACTATAGTATGGAGAGCCGTTTTAGCCAAAATTAAATAAATAAATAAATGGTTGAAATAAATAAAAAAATGAGTAAAATAAATCAAAAAATTACTATGGAGTCGTTCAATATTTTAAAAAAATCAGGAAAATATATCTAATATGTTGAATTCTTGGTTGTTGGCCAAAGTGTGTGTTGTAGATGCTAAGCATATTTACTAGCAAATCTTGCAGTGGATTTAAGTTTATTAAATAGTTTTTAATTGGATATGATTTAGCAGAAAGGTAAGAGCCTCCAGTTTGAAAATTACAAGCTGACAAATTATTTAAACACAAATATTGCAGCAAAATATTAGCCTCTAACAAACACTGGTGGCTGAAACCATTAAAGCTGTGAAAAATATGGTTTTTAAAGAACAAATCAGGCCTGTTTTGTTTGGGAAATACATTTTGCAAGAAGAAATTACAAAATTAGTACTAAATAGCTGTATAAACTTTTAGAAATCCAGTTCTCAGTGTGACTAATAAAAATGGCTTTGACATATGTGGGAGTGTAAAAWAGAAGCAATGAAAAAAAAACATGTGCCAAATTAGTCTATCCTGTTTCAGTGACTGATGCTTTAAAAGAGCAGTAAATAAAAATAACCACTCTACAAGTGACTCATATTTGACAACCTGGAGAAAAGATTAACAGTGGAAATAAAACATCACTATAATTCACAGTTTACACCAAATAAGGTACCATCATGAGTTACATGCTGCTGTTCCAAAAAGATTAGTCATTCTGATATAGTTTGTTTATAAAACAAAAGGTTATGATTGAGTGGTTTAAATTAGCAATGCTGATAAGGAAAAATTGTAGATACAGGACTTTTTTTTCTGCATTTGCTTATATTTTCAAAGAGCAGAGAAATATAATCCTCGCTGATTTATTATAAATAAACTTTCCTAATAAAATAAACTTTTTATTTTACCTTAACTGTAACAACGATATGAAAACTTTCAAACCAATTTACCTTTTTAAACCAATATTCTTCATCTCTGTAAATTGCTCACCTGTTCGTGGTGTACAATGACACCATGCTGCAGATGGAGTTAAGGAGCCTATAGCAGCGGTTTGTACCTGGACTGAAATGGAGCTTCCCTAATCTATAATGTAATGACAGCTGTTTCAGACCTGCAGAGCAGAGCAGCACAGTGAGGAGGAGGAGGAGGAGGAGGTGGTGGTAATGGATCGAGCCGAGGCGCCTCCAGCTGTGCACCACCACAGATCTTTTTCTGTAAAGTAAATGAGAAGGAATAAGGCTGCAGGACATTGGAGCCCGTGTGATGAAGAACACAACACAAAATCTACATGCGGTTTGGTGTTCACCTTGACAGTCCAGCTGAGAGAATTATACAGCTCTCAGAAKCAGAAGACACATAAATGAAGATGTAAAAAGCATCTGAGAGGTAGAGTAGTTGTCTTTTATTGGAATAAAATGATCTTTTAATTGAATTATTGTAAAACAGGTATTTTTGTAGTCCAAGTGGGCACTATATTTTAGAAAGCTGTGATTGTTGCAGATTTTGATCTTTTTTCAATTCAAGATTTAACAATCTATTAGTAGTTTATTTCAATGCCAACACAAGTTGTTTAAAAAAGGGAGATATTATGTATTTTCCAGGCACATCGTTCCATTCTATACAACAATCAACTGCTACCTTCAGTTGTTATGAAAAAGCTGGATAAATCAAAATGTTTTTGACTTTGCATCAGAGCCTATCTGAGCACGTTTAAATTGGCCTTTGCCTCTTTAAGAACCTCCTACTGTTTCAGACACTCCCACTTCACAACAATGGGCCTCATGCAAGAACCGTTCGTATGCACAGATTTGTTCTTAAGTTGTGCGTACGAGTGATTTAGGAGAATTTGTGGCATTCACCAATGTTTTCGTGTTCTAAGATTTTTTTCAGATACGAACAAAATTCACGAGTGGTCCAGACCTGTCGTATATTTTACGAGCAGTCAGTCCGCTGTTATCCAGACGGGTTTTCCTCCCTAATAACTTTATATTTCGTTAGTTTTCAAGATATTTTAAGTTGAAAATAAATTACACTCTATAACACAGTTGTTTATACTTTTAGCAGCTCTTTTTATYCCACAGCTGACCTGCTAAAAATGACAGATTTTCTTTTCTGGATCTCTGACAGACGGACTTCAATCTCTGAACTCGTAAAGTTTTTCATTTTAATTTTCGCTGTCATTTTCATGAATGGACACTTCCTTGTATCTGAGGCAGGAAACATAGCCTTATATGGCGTTTTTGGGGTGGTAATTATGCTAATCTCCTCTCGTGTGCACGAGCAGCTGGATACAAACAGGTGGAATTTACGCAGCTCATTTACACACTTTTCCTGAAGATAGAAGAGTTTGTTGAATCTGACGTGACATGTTCGTACGAACCCTTTGTACGAACAAAAGTAAGAGAAATTTAGGAGAAGAATACGAACATGTTCTTGCATGAGGCCCAATGCTTTCAGGGGAGAGGTGCTCTGTGGGGTGGGAGCTGCAGACTGAGCTTCAGGGAGGAGCTTTGTACAAATAGGTGGAGCTTTGTAACAGCAAGCGTTTAGGCAGCTCCACATGGCCACAGGAGATTCAAAGATTTCTCAGAAATGCATGAATGAGTCAAAGCAACACTCTTGAGTATGTTTTTAATGAAATAATGGTTTTATATCATGATATAAAGCAAAAAAAAATTTGTGCACCCCCCCTCCCCAAGCAAAGATAAAGTGAATGCAAATTCAAGAAATAGAGCCTCCCCCAAAAGGAATAAACTAAATGGAGCAAATGTTTCTCTCACCAGCAGAAGTTTAGGAACCTTTCAGCTTCATTTACTTCATTTGTCATTAATTTAGAGCTTGAAAATCAGGTCAATAGCTGTCATTAAAAATATTGACAATTCAGAACTGGGCTGACTACAAGGATCTAAAAGAAAAGTAATATGCACCCCAAAAAAAGTCTATAAATAGATATGAATTATTTTACTGCAGATAGAAAGATGTAGAAATGGCAGCTGCAGAAAATTACAAATTAACAGAAGKTCTAAAAGAACAATAAAAGCTTTAGTTAAAGCGCGCCTTCTCTTGAGAGAAGGAAATAGAAAAATGTCCAGTGAGAAAAATCACGTGATGTATACGAACAAGTACTATGTACCGAAGCCAAAAACGACTTTCAACAGTTTTGTGTTGTTGTGGTGACGGCCCATCTGCCAACATATGTACAYAAATATAAACCTACCTCCAAACTACTGTCGACATTATGTCACAGTGACGACAAGAAAGTGGCAGTCTGTTCTGTGGAGCTGTTGGATTTATTTAAAGGGCACTGTAAAACCAAACAGAACAAAAAAGATATATATATATATATATAAAGATTAATGCAGTTCAACAAACACAGGAAAATATTTGGGATATTAAACATTAATCTGGACTTTTATATGGAWAAAGTCTAAGTGATCTCCAAGTCAAGGTGTTTTGGAGCTTTGAGAAAGCCCTGTTTCACACATTCTAATATTGAAAATTCAGCATAACCGTTGTTTCACTTGGATTTCACTGGAAACCTGCACTTTTATTGACCGCTTGGCATTTTCATTGTGCAAGACATTTCTTGACGTGTGTGTATCCAGACTTGCAAGAATRATGGATTAAAGGTGCTTTGATAGACACTTTGCTCCGTCATCCAGCTCAGCTCTGGAGTTGAGTCTATCAGAGCTTTTGAACTGTGTCAGCGGTTCTATGCAGGCAGGAGTGTGATCATTTGTGGGAAACAATATAGTCTACATCAGTCTGTCTCAATAAGTGTTGTAGGGAGTCCTCTTAACCACTGCAGCCAGTGTCCCCTGTGCAGCTGCCTCTCATAGAAATCACTGCCTCGGTTTGAAAAMATTATTAGGCAAGAGGTGTGGGAGAACGCAGTCATGAATCCTTCAGTGCTTATTTACCTTTGGTGATACGAGCTGCAGCTCAGTGCTAATCTGCCAATAATATAAGCATTTGACTGTTGGAGAGTCTTGTCAAGAAGACTACCACAACTAAATAAATCATTTTAATTTTAGAATAGCATTTTGCGCATATGTAGTATTAGTGCATTTTTGCAGTCGAACAGATTATCAGTTAAAATAAATATAGCTGCCAGACTGTGCAGTACTTAATACTCAGTGAGCATAAGCCAAAGCTTTCAGGAGAGAGCTTATGCAGGTCTGCTATGTTGTTACTAAAGACTTTTTTTTTTTAAAGATTTCATTTAGGCATGCTTTTGGTATAAGAGTTGAAACATTTTATGAACAATTATAGAACAAATGCATAGTAAATAACATAGATGGAAAACCTCAATGATGGATGAGGCCACTATTTTTTGTTGACACTAAAAGAGGGCCACATAGCCAGCCAGCCATTATTTATGTATTTATTCATTTAAATAAATAAATAAACAAACAAATAAATAAATAAATGATTAAAAATGAATTCAAAATGTTTGAAGCAAACAAAAATAATAAACTTACTTTACTGAGCTGAAGTGCAACAACATAAGATTGTGCTTCTGGTAAAAGGTCACTGTTTATGGTAAACTTCTTGTATTTAACTTTGTGCAACTGTTGTAGCGGCGACTTATGTATATTAATATCCTTCGTGGCGCCAGCTTCACTGAACAAACTAAACGCAAAAACACACACACACACATACAATTATTTTTAAAAAGCATTTGTAAAGAAGTAGCTGTTAGATTCTAACAGCTTAAAGTGGTTTTATTTTATTTTTAAAAACTTAATAAATGTTATTGTTATTGTTATTAATATTATTATTGTTATTATTATTATTAATATTATTATTATTATATACATTTTTTTGGGGCTTACTGGTGGGACAAATGTAAGTCACCTGCTGGCCATATACAGCCCGCCCACCACCAGTTGTCAACCCCTGGCATAGTGTTTTAATATGCAGAAATTGCGCTCACATTTCCATATTGTAAATTCCTTCATACATTCTCTGTTCTTTATCAGAGGAGTTCTGCTTTATTCTCTCTTTCTACAGAAAATGGTTTCTCATAAAAAGGACAGAAAATCTTTAAAATCAGTTTTTTTAGCCCAAAGGACCAAAACCTTTTTTTTTCTGTCATGTGCACTAAAGAGTTTATTGTTAATTTTGCACCTCATTAGTGAGACTAATATCTGTTATCTTACAGCTGTGATATCTCGGAGCCACGAGGGTCCAGGAGAAATGGGCAAGGCGGTAAACATCCCCAAAAATGACCAGGAAAAAATGAAGGAGCTCTTTAAGATCAACCAGTTCAATCTGCTGGCCAGTGACATGATCGCACTCAACAGGAGTTTACCGGATGTGAGGCTGGACGGGTGTGTACGCTTTGACTTTCCTTTTCACGAAGTTGCTGTAAATCAGTTTACTGTACCGACCATTAAACATCCACTGAAACAAACATTCACACAGATGTTGACTCACAAGGTGGTACCTGGGTGATTAGTGCTGCTAGTGAAGCTGAGGCCGCAGGTTCAAGTCCCATGTTGAATCAAGAAGATTAAAACTTTATTATGAATTTAATCAAAGAAGACCTGGAKACAGAAAAAAAATATAATTCCACCTCCTAAACTTTCTACAACATCCTCACTGGAGTACATTTCTTAAGCCTCATTCATAAGACGGCTCAGTCCAGGACTGACTCGTGTTCTGTCCTCCTCGGATCATTCAGAAAAAAAAAAAACCATGAAGGCGGAAAGGGGGGGTGAAGTGAGCCCGCCTCTGATGCGCCCCTCTGTGAAAAATCAAACAGATATATTACTGAGGGAATATTAAAGATAACTCGAAACAACAACTTTGTAGCTGGTTACAAAAATATTGAAGCACAGGATCGCTAAAATGAGTTAATTCCATTTTTTTGTCCCTCGTCGCAGAGGCAGGGAACTTGGAAATGCTGACAACAGGAAGTGACCTTTTTTTGGGGCATGGAAGGCTCCATCTCTGACCCTCTTGACCCAATCAGCAACAAATTGTGTCAGAACACAGATAATAAGTTGATCTCACTTACTTGCAATCAAAAAGATTTTTTGGTGAAAGGCGTGGTCATAGCGGTGCGGTGAAGTCGGACATCACACCGCTGACATACGTTTTGGCTCTAAATTACACATATTTCAGCCAACCCCACTAAAGGAATGCAGTCCAATTATCGGTAGTTAATTCAGTTTTTTGTTTTTGTGTTTTACATGAGGAAGAAGTCTGCGACTGCAAGGTTAAACAATAGATTTATTGCAGACAATTACAATATTAAAGATGACACAGAACAGCAACACTGTTAAATAAATAGAACCACAGAATCGCTAAAATAAGTTAATTCAGTTTGTTTTGTTTGATACGAGACGGATGTCCGTCACACAATAAAAATGTCGCGGTCCACTTCAGCCGAGCTGAGATCTGCTCCATGCCTCTTTTGGTTCCACGCTGCTGCGTTCATTTCTGAACGCGTACATGTGAGCGGGAACTGGCGGCTTCTCCTGTGATTTATGAATGAACTGAGGGAGCTCAAAGCTGGACTGGTTTGTGCGGTGATTTTGTGGAATTGTCTTGTGAAAGAGGCTTTAGTTTTACAGAATAAATGCAGTTTTGCRGTGAAATTTGATCAAAATTGTGTCGAGTTGCAAGGCGGCCTCCTATCATTCTGTGATGTTATGTTGAATCGACGGGATTGAGCGAGCAATGCTGTCTGCTCCAGTGGCCTTTTTTCACCCTCTGTCACTTCTCAACACCTCTCCTCCTGTCACACAAGCTCCTTTTGCTGCCCAGCTCCATTTTTTTGTAACATAGCTAATTTTTTATTCAGTAACACTCAGTCTAGCAGCGTCCTGAGGTTCCCCACAGTTTCACTGTTAGACTTTCATACGCATCACATCAAGCCAAGGACATGCTGGCATTGCTGTCAACACTGGTTTTGCATTTTTCACTTTCTTCTGAGATATTTGTCAGTAAATCCCCTGGTGGCATCATTTGGAAGCAGCAGGTTACTCAAACTGCTTTCAGAGATTTTAATATGCTGCCTTTTTTAAACCAACCAAAATGAAACTTTAGGAATTTTTAAATGTATGTATAAAATGTATATAATGCATATAGTGTATATGTAAGGGTTTAAAATTAGACAAAAAATAACTCATTCAAAAACAAGTTAACAATTGGTTTTACTCTGCTACAAGGTTGTAAAAATACCAGCTGTTTTTTTAAAGGGGACATATGAAAAATCCACTTGCGTTTTGTTGTGTATTCGGAGTCTCTTGGAGTGCAGAAATTTTGAATTTAGTCTCTCCTCTTGCTGCGTTGATGTCTTTATGTTCTGTTTGGGTCATATTTTTCAACTCATTCATTTTTCTCTATTTTCTACAATGTTTTCTTATCTATTACGTCACCGTATTTGCAATGGAACTTCTAAATAAGGTCTGGACTTTCCAACTACAATTTCGTGGTCTTAATTGTCCAGATTATGGCTTCAACATGTAAGGCTGGATGAACAAGTCTTCCCTCATTGACATCTATTAATTAATGTGTAAATAAAACAAGAAATAAATAAAATTTCTGTGCTGCTATGTAGCTGTAAACCCGTCTATCAAACTGGAATGGACCAGGCTGGAGGTAAATGGTAAATGGACTGTACTTATATAGTGCCTTTCTATCCATCCAGGACACCAAAAGCGGGAGATGTAGGGGCGGGGCATGAAGAGCCTTGTTAAGATTTAAAGAGACAGCATCGAATTGAGTTGCTTTCAGACACACCTACGAAAAGGGGTAAAAGAGGGGCTTGTGGAGTTACAGTAAGGAGGAATTCAGACCAAAGCATTGCAATTCCACTTTATAYATACCCCAATGAATGATTTCAATGTGAAAAAGAAGAATTTAAAAACATAAGTCTCCTTTAACAGTTACTTTTATGTGCTTGTCAAAAGAAAACATTTGCAAATAATAATTTTGCTTTTAAATTATATCATCTTTTTCTTTTTCTTTGTTGTTCTCTTTGATTTTCTGGTTYCCTTTAGGGGTATCCAAAGCAGACTCCCCTACCTTCAGCCCAATCATCCTCCTCTGCCACTTCAACTCACTCCAGACCCTCCTTCACTACATCCATTAAGTTCCTCTGTGGTCTTTCTTTTTTCATCCTCCTCCTTACAGCTCCATGTCTAACATGTCAATCATTTTATCTATGCACATCCAAACCATCTCAGCCTCTTCTCTCTGTCTTTGTCTCCGATTCTCTTAATCTGAGCTGTCCCTATGACATTCTAATTTCTAGTCTTGTCCATTTCTGTTACTCCCAATGAAAATCTTAACATCTCCAGCAATGCCTCGTGTCTTTTAGTGCCCCTGTCTTCAAACCAAAGTTTGCAGCAGATCTCATCCTGTGAACCTCCCCTTTCACTTATGCAGCCACCCTTCTGTCACAGATCAGCTCTGCCACTCGTGTCATACACTCCACCCAGGTACCTAAAGTCATCTACCGCAGATACTTCTCCTCCTCACAGCTTCACAGTTCCACCTGTCTTCCTGTCAAATTAAGATGCTGGTAGCTAATGTTACAAGAAGTCTCTTAAAAGTGTAGTTTGTTCTCAAACCAACTACGCACACGTTGAGACGTCATGCTTTTGTTTAAACGATCCATGGTTCAGATCAGATGGTTTTAGACTGTATATTTGTGTAAAGCCTCTGTATGATGTGACTGTGTTTCCCCGTCAGCTGTAAGACCAAGTTGTACCCAGATGACCTGCCCAGCACCAGCATTGTGATTGTGTTTCATAACGAGGCATGGAGCACCCTGCTGCGGACCGTTCACAGTGTCATAAACCGCTCTCCGAGACACCTGCTGGTGGAGATTGTGCTGGTGGACGATGCCAGTGAGCGAGGTTGGTGCTCAGAGACTAAATAATAATCACCTCAAAAAAAAAAAAATGGAATGTATTTTATACCTGACAGAGTCACAGCTAGGGCTGCAAATAAAAATTTATAGTAATATCAATATTGCTAAGGACTGCTTGGACTGCAATAAATTCTAGATGATCTGAACTGAATTCAAAGTGAAACCATATATAATAAAAATTGTCACATTTTTATCATTTTAAACATGGGTTTTATGTTCTTCCTTTATATCTGTGGAGAATTTCTTGCAAAAGAATGATGGAGAACTCCACCTAATTTCACTAAATCATCCCTGTGGGAGAGTTGGTATTGATGATAGGCCTGTAAGGATTCCCTGCTGATCTGAGAGACATTTAATGTGCTTGCTGACATCAGATATGCTGACACTCTTTTTTTCAAAAAGTAGAATTAATTGTGTTCATCTGATTTGTAGCGTCTTTTTCTATCACTTATCTCCAGTAGTGACATTTACTAAACTTAAAGCATAAAAATGTCACCAAAATGTCATTTTCTTAACAAGTTTTTTTCTTCTCTAGTAGGAGGTGTAATCTGATTTCCAGACTAAGTTTATTTTTCTGCTCACTTCATGATATCTCACTTGCCAAAATATCATAGATTGGAAAAAAGTCAGTATCCAATTTTTATTTTAAGATTTTTTTCTCACTCCAAATAAGATGCAGTGTTGAGATGCTATCCAATTCAACTTTCTAATAACTGTTCAAAAGTTTTTTTTATCAACATATTCAGTTTTACATAGATGTGCTATTTGAAAACACAAAAATATACTTTATTTTTGCTGGTAATGAACTTTATTATAACTCAGAAAATAGATGTTAGACATTTTGGATTATATTAATATATTTTTATGAAAATTGGTTAGCTAAAATAATTATTATAATAATTATTTTGTCTGTTTTTCTCTCAGACTTTTTGAAGAAGCAGCTCGAGAGCTACGTGAGAACTTTCGAGGTGCCAGTGAAGATTCTGAGGATGGAGCAACGTTCGGGTCTGATCAGAGCCAGGCTGAGGGGGGCCGCCGCCACCACAGGTCAAGTCATCACCTTTCTCGACGCTCACTGCGAGTGTACCGTGGGCTGGTTGGAGCCCCTGCTGGCTCGGATCAAAGAAGACCGGTAGGACCACGCAGAGGGCTTGAGGCTGACAGAAAATGATGAAACACGATGTGATTTTTAGGGGCAGTGCATCAGAATGCTGTGGAGTTTCTTACTGTCAGACAATTTCTTCTTTAGATTTTGCCTTGAAACCTTTGTTAAAATTACTGTTGCTAAAGTTGCATAATTGGATGCCTTTACCAGAGGATCTATCTGAATATTGAATAAACAGCAAATTGTCAACCTGACATTGCTGAAATGATGATTATTCTGCTGCTGGTGCTGTCATTGTGTGACTTCAGCTGTAGATAAAAGATGGACTTCGGTTGTGGAGGAATGCTTTATTTGTTCAAGGTTGCTTAGACTTACTTAAAGGGGGGTATTGTGTAAAATTACCTTTTTTTTAAGCTTTATTTCATGTTATTAAGCCATTCCCGCATCAAAAACATACACAGTGTTACTTTGACTCATCCATGCATGTTTAAGAAATCCTTGAATCTCTTGTGGTTGCTATTTGGAGCTGCCTAAATACTTTCTGGTACAAAGCACCGCCTATTTGTACAAAGCTCCTCCCTGGAGCTCAATCTGTACCAAATATAGAGAACTAGATTTTGTTGGAACAAGACCAAAGTAAATTGTCACCTTAAACAACTCCAGTCTCCAACAGTTTTTGGCAGCTCATTGCAATGCTTTATCATGAACTTTTACACCATCGTAAATTTCACCATGTTATTGAATTGTTATGAAATTCTTGTTAAATCCATGTTGATTAATGCTCAAAACTCCATACTTTGTTCCATCTCACACCTGAATATGACTCTTGTCTTGCAGATCAGCRGTGGTGTGTCCAATCATCGACGTCATCAGTGATGAGACGTTTGAGTACATGGCAGGCTCAGATATGACTTACGGTGGATTCAACTGGAAGCTGAACTTTCGATGGTACCCAGTTCCCCAGCGGGAGATGGATCGCCGTAAAGGAGACAGAACGCTCCCGGTCAGGTACACAAACTCAATAATGTTTCCTTCTCAGATATTAAATCTAATTTCTTTTTCAAGCAAATGCGTGTCCAGGTTCCTTCACGTATAATTTACATAATTTCATAAAGATATAGGACAGTAGGGGTCTATTTTCTCTCTCACACATACAAAAAATGTAATGATTGCTTTACCCAAACAAATGATTGTTCTTTCTGTGGAGGCAGTAGGTCATTAAAAACCAGATTAAGTTTCTTCTCCTCTTTGGAAAAAGCTAAAAATAGGTGAATCCCCTCAAGGCATCTCTTCCTTTGTAGTTTAAATATGTGCATATACCAAAATAGAAAACTAGAAACTCTGCTTACAATTGCCATTTTAGCTTCACAAAGTGAACAGTTTATCTATATTCAGTTCACTCTCGTTAACAAACTGCGTCCTTAATTCATTTTTGACTGAATTAAAAGATAAAAGCATTTTTCTCTCCAAGGCTTTGTTTCATTTTGTCAAACAACTTGTTTTCATTTTATCCTCAGTGCTTTTTGTGTTACAAGAAGATACTAACAATCACAGCATGAAATCATAGTTCCAAGCAAGAAATATTGAAGTCATTGTTCTCTGGTTTGTTTTTATATATATTTGATGAACACATCAATACAATGGCCTGTATGTTTATTAAAGATTTAGAGAACTACTCCTACAGCTAATTAAGTCTCTTCTAAATCCCCCTTGTGCAGATTTCTTATTGAATTGGTTTAAGCTGGATTGAACAACACTTTAATATTTGAAAATAAAATAAAGACTGGTGCTGTTTTGAGCAAAAAAAAAAAATTAAGAATAATTTTCCAATAGCTTTTACAATTGCGAGCAGATGTTACAATAATGATATATTTTCTTCTGCAGGACTCCCACCATGGCAGGAGGCTTATTCTCTATAGACAAAACTTATTTTGAAGAAATCGGAAGTTATGATCCAGGGATGGATATATGGGGTGGAGAAAATCTGGAAATGTCTTTCAGGGTGAGTGATTGAAAACATGATATTATCCTGACAGAGATAGCTGATGGCAACTTCCCGATGCAATTACCATCCTAAACCATAGTCATAGTGCCAACTATTTAAAACTCACAAGAGAGACAAAGAGAGGCTTGCTGGTAAAATGAAATACACATAGTGGACCTGTCCAGTGTTATCGTTAGCGCTATCAATTTCTGACAAGCTGCATTACTGTCGGCAGCTTTAAAGGGGCAATATCATGTAAAATCAACTTTTTTGAGTTTTATATCATGTTATAATGTTATACTCTCATAAAACATGCCCAAAGCCTTGCTCTAACTCATTCATGCATGTTTGAGAAATCCTGCAGTGTTTTTAGGCAGATGTGCTGAGGAGCAAAACGACAGGTGGGGACTAGAAACACCTTTTGGTACCAGAAACGCCCCTGGGACGTGTCTTTAAGACCAACTTCCTCATGGCAGAGTGCACCCCCTCCCCTCCTCCCCACACACCCCGCCCATGACTCCTGCAGGCTCTCGGGTGAAAGTGAAAGTGAAACTTAACTGTCTGCTGAGCTCTCAACATTAGTTCTCACTCAGTGAAGCTCTTTTCAGATTAAAAATACCTTTGAGGAAATGTACAGTATTTTCAGATGCCAAGTAAACTGCATCATAGTGCACGCGCGAACCCCCCTCCCCCCACACTGAAATGGGATGGGACAGAAGCAATGGTGGTTCTTAAAGAGACAGAGGCCAATTTCAAGGCGTTTAGAAGAGGAAGTGATGAGAAGATAAGTTTATTTTCTATTTAAACATAAAAACAGCATTTTAATAACGGCTAAAGGTGACATAGATACTTTATTATGGTATAGTATTTAAATATATGCCTGAGAAACACATAATATTGGCCCTTTAATATCTTTCTATGTGACTTGAATGTAGGGCTGCACAATATCAGGAAAACCTGTGATGTGTGATAACAGTGCTTAATATTGCTCTGATGATATGACTTGTGATAAATGAACAAATACTTAAGTATGAAGCGTTGATGTCTTTCTCCTCTGGGTTCAGAGCAAMAAAACAAAACAAACAAACAAAAAACCGAATACATCATTTCCATTACAACATGAAAAAAAAAAACTGTCCAATAAACAAAAAGTGAGGGAAGCACCAGGTCCAGACGGAGTCTCACCCTCGTGCTTCAGGACCTGCGCAGAACAGCTTGCACCAGTCTTTAGTCTGATCTTCAACATTTCACTGGAGCTGTGTGTCATACCCTCCTGCTTCAAATGCTCCACTATTTTACCAACCTCCATGAAGTCAGCCATCACAGCCCTGAATGACTACAGACCTGTTGTTTTGACCCCTGTAGTCATGAAATGCTTTGATGGACTGGTCCTATATCACCTGAAGGACATCACAAACCCTCTGTTAGACTCACTGCAGTTCACATACCATCAGAACAGATCCACAGAGGAGGCAGTGAATGTGGGACTCCACACCCAGTWTGCACAATATTAGTTATTCTTATATGCACTCTGAGCTACCACAACCAAAAACAAATTCCTTGTGTGTTTGAGCGAACATGGCCAATGAAGCTTGATTCTGATTCTGATGGTTTTATTTTAAAAAGTGAAGCTAGACACACCTGCTGTAGCAATAAAACAACCACATGCAATGCTGTTTCTTAATGACTTTAAAACATTCTGACTCTAGAAGTCCTCTAGATGTTCTTCAACAATTTTGAGCAACTTCTGATGTAGCATTTCAAAATAAAAGCACTCCCAATACTTAGATTGTAACTTTCTTTGCCCCTAAGTTGCTGTCTTTATTGCAACTAAATGGCTAGTTGTCAGTGACTGATCTCACTTCAGTCTGACTCTAGAAGTCCTCCAGATGTTCCTGAAGTGAGTGAGCTTATTCTTGCAATAGATATGTGACGTTCATGAATGATCCAAGTCTTTTGAACGGCTCCTTACAAGGAATTACAGGAGCCAAATTGCGGGCAGTAAAGAGCCGTTTGTAGTTTTATTTTATTATTCGTCATATAATCTTATTTTTTCATCTGTAAATCCAGAGACAATCACTCCTGCTTTGCTTTTTCAGGGAAAATAGGCAGCGTGGTGGAGAACAGCAGCTCAGGAGAAAGGAGGAGGGGATTTCTGCTTAATAAAACACATGGTTCCACCCATAGAATGTGATGACATCATCACGTACGCCCTACATGATGATGTAACTTGTTAAAAATCAAATTGTTATGAAACAAACAGCTCCTTAAGATCGGGATCACTTAAAAAAAACATTTAACCCATCTCTAATCTTATACATTCACAAATTAATTTGAAATGATTTTTATCTGTGTTTATGCAGATCTGGCAGTGCGGTGGGTCTTTAGAAATCGTAACGTGCTCACACGTGGGGCATGTTTTCCGTAAGGCCACTCCGTACAGCTTCCCTGGAGGAACGGGCCAAGTCATCAACAAGAACAACAGGCGCCTGGCTGAAGTCTGGATGGATGATTTCAAAGACTTCTTCTACATCATCTCACCAGGTACGGAGCAAAGAAATGACCTCTGCGTGACTGAATCCTTCTCTCACATTTAGACTAAGACGACACGCTGAAGGCAAATGGATAAAAATGACATGAATTAAAGAAAATTACAGATTATTAATAATAATTTACTGAATGCTTTTATTCAGTTCACACCCATGGTTTAAAAGAAATGTGAGCAATTCTTTATACCCAAACTGAACTGTGATTGCTTGTATTACTTTTTCTTTTCTTTTCATAATCCACATTTCTCTTTTCTACTTGCATGTTGGAATTTAACGCTGCTTTGTCACCCTGAAAAGGAACTAATCCATTTCTGGTTTCAGACATATTTCAGTGGTCTCCTGAACTTGAGTTTGGAAATKTGTCAGAAAGGGTCTTTTCTCAAAGAGAGCTTAAATGCATATGTTAAAAAAAAAACCTGGATCAACGGGGCTATGCAGCTTGAGAGATGAGAACTCCCTTCCATCTGTCGACTCAGTAATGTGATTACCCTTTAGCAGAAAGCACGTTTCCAGAAATCTCTGACTAAGTGTTCTAGATGGCTGCCAACCTATAAGGGATCATCCGTAATCTGCAGATCTTCTGGCACAAATTGTGACCACCTTCTCCATTCAGTCAGGCAGGACTCTCCGCAGGCAGGTGTGGAGGCAGAGCCAGCGTTGTGATGGATGGCTTTTACTAAGTATTGTGGCCCTGCAATGACTGTCTGTTCCTCCAGGACATTAGTGAAAATGATCTGGGCTGGGCTGCTGCCAGACCTTACTTATTGGCACAGAGGAACACACTGTGTCTCTGTGCTTGATTTTTGGAAGTGGTGTAGGGTGATCCTATTTAAAGTGTAACTGCTTTCTTGTCCCCTCTTAGCACAGTGCAGGTTAGGATGAAAGAGGCCACTCATCTCTTGCAACAATATACTCCAGAAACATTTAAGTCTTTAATTATCACCCAAAGACAGGGATTATTATTTTTTTCTTCTTATGTGTACATACATGTGTTCAGTTGTCTATAAAGTTAACAAAATATCACATCTAAGCAATCTTCGTAAACACAAAAATGGCTATCTCAGATAATTTTACAGATATTAGACCAAAATTTGGTGTGGAGTCATCCTAAAATATTTGATTCCTTTTCCCTCTTTACCATCAGCCTCTGTCGCAGCATACTGGATCTTTCCAAAGAGAAACCATCTGCTTAATGTGGTTTTTTAAGTGTCTTTGCACAGTTGCTGTCTAATCCTTCCCCAATCTTCAGTGTCAGCAGTGTCGATACATCAGGCTGTTTCTGTTTGGCTTAAGTAACATATTATGATCCATGTAAATGTTGCAATTGTGCTTTTCTCGGATCCTAAACAGTACATGTACTTGGTGGGTGTATAAATGGGTCAACAGAGACCAGGGCAATTATGTGTTAACAGGAAAACCCTCCCTGATCCTCATCCATCCATACTTTTAGGCTGGGCGTTGGCGTGTTTGTGCAAAGGGGCCCTCTGGTGTTTAATTATGGTGATGCAAGAAAACATCACCGCTTCTCACTCCCTTTTTTTTCCCCCAGTAGAAAATTTTTAAATCCCGCCTGATGATACTCTTGAATAAATCTGTCTAAATCTCTGTTTAACCTCTGCAGGTGTGATGCGAGTAGACTACGGAGACGTCTCCTCCCGTAAAGTCCTCCGAGGGGCTTTAAAGTGCAAACCTTTTTCTTGGTATCTAGAGAACATCTACCCAGACTCCCAGATCCCACGAAGATACTACTCACTTGGTGAAGTACGAGCACATTTGTACTTTAAATTCCCATCCTACTGCGAACGTTCACCTCTCCTTTCAGTGAGATAAATGCAGCTGCTGGGTGYGTTATTAGAAAAGCAATAATGTTGAAAACAAAAGTGTAAATACCTGCAGCCAAGCTTTAAGAAAACTAGATAAAAGCAACAAATAATGGTCAGTTTATATTGAACAGATCTGAGAAACACTCTCTTGGATGCTTGCACAGTCTCTATTGATCTGTGTAACATTTTTACACAATTATGGTGCACATGCTGAGTGAGTGAGATAATGCTCATGGGCATGTTTATTTGATTTAAGCCCAGCAAGGAAAAAAAAATCTTAAAAAAGCTGAGAAGCAGAAGTGTTTTGTGGTACCAGATTTCTGACTGCGTTTTAAAATGCGTGTTTATCACCAGCTGCGGAAAGCAAAGCAGCAACAATGGTTTTACCTCTGTGTGTGTGTTGTGTGTGTGTGTGTCGGGGTCTGAACCATGAGCAAAATATTTCATATACCACTGGATAGATTTTATTTAAATTTATAGAAAGTAATCACTGGCTACACCTCATTTACATTTGGACTCAATACAATTCAAGATGGCCACTACAGCTAATCCTGCATAGATGGCTATTTATAAGTTATGTCAAATAATTTATGCTTTAAAAAACTTGTAATCCTCCAACAGCTGAGGATGTGAGAATTTTCATCATTGCTGCTCTTCTATAAAGCTGTAAAAGCTGTGCGTCTTTATGTCAGTCTTTAGCCTCGGCAGCACCTCTCCTCCCATTTTTCCCTCTAAGCTGCTTCTGACTGAGTCTCATCTTCCATAACACACGCAGTCTTGCCTTTCCAGCCTTTTTTCCCTATATGCCTATGTTGGCATGAGAAGCATTTGGCTTAGAAAATTGTCAGCTCAGTTCTAACACTGTAAAGGCAAGAGGTTTTGAAAAAAAGCTGATGGTTTATGTAGGTCTATCAGGTCAGTATTTCAGCTTTTAACGTGAATTTTATCTGAAAATGTTGGTAACTGATTCTCATGAAGAACAGTGTAAAAAGTGTTTCACAAGTTAACTGTGAAAAGTGAACATTTTAGTCTCATAATTCAATAATTCTCCTGTTTTTTTTCCCCTGTCTGCAGATCAGAAATGTGGAGACCAATCAGTGCGTGGACAACATGGGAAGAAAAGAAAATGAGAAAGTTGGCTTTTTCAACTGTCATGGCATGGGTGGAAACCAGGTGAAGTGCAAATGCTTTGCAATTTTAATGCAATTGTTTTCATGACTTATAAATTATGCAATAGCAGTAGAAAATACTGAATTTTTTTAACAGTGACTTGTACAAATAACCAAAACAGACTCTAGCCTCTGTTGAATTTTCGTAACCAAACTGGCTCCACTAAACCGAGATGAGTGAACGTAAAGTTATTTAATCAGCTCGTTTTAGTGGAACCAGACTCAACTTTGTTAAAGTTAACACTTCATTTCTTAGCATGCATAAACAACTGCTTTCATGGTGAATTCAGTCGTACAGTGTTTAAATTTGTAGCATGTAACTAGGTGTTAGAAAAAGATTTTATGTTTTGAATGTGACAAAATATAAATAAAAGTTACAATAAAAATACTGTGTAAAATCCTGAAAGAAATATTACTGATGTAACAAAGTAAATATACTTACTATACACCTCTGGTAAAATGACTTTGCGTTCACTCCTCGAATACAAAATATTGTCATAATTGTGGCGCTGTTGCTTTTTTCCCCCCAGGTGTTCTCCTACACGGCAGATAAAGAAATCAGGACAGATGACCTCTGTCTGGACGCCTCCCGTCTCAACGGTCCTATTCTGATGCTGAAGTGTCACCACATGAAGGGCAACCAGATGTTTGAGTATGACGCTGAGGTAGGATTTGTGTTACATACAGTGACCAGAGAGTCCAAAATGAGGCTCTGCAGGTGGTCACTCTCTCTTCCTGATGCTTTGTGTTCTCAAAATGAGAGCAGCAATCCACTTGGAGGATTTGGGTTCTATAAAAAAAAACAATTTTCTGCCACTAGATGGCACTCTGTGTTTCTTTTTTTTTTTGGTATCTCTTCTTTTTTTTATATAAAACACAGGGATTGAATTGCTATTTCCATCCAGCAGCTGTGTTTTTCATCTTCTCTCATTTCATATAGTATGTTGGCAAGTGGGAGTATGATTTTGAGGTAAGCTGTCCAAGTCAGTGCCGCCTCCTTTTCCCCATAGTTTGTGGCCTGTGCTTCAAGTGTCGTGGCATCCTGTGTGGACTATAAAACGTGTGGTTGTTAGATTAGATCATATAAATCTTTAGTGACTTGAAGACTCTTTTCTGTTAGAGTGAAGCAGGGAAATGAAATTATACATGAAGTGAAATCACATCAGTCAACATTTATTTACCATGAATTCTCCTGTGCAGTCAAAATATAAGGCCAAATTATTTAATAATAATAATAATAATAATAACAATAATAATAATAAAACATTGTGCTTGGTAGGCAGTTTATAAAAGCAGCTCAAATATTTCATCAACACTAGTTACTAAAATAAAGCTTTGGGAACTTTTGAGAAAGCAAAACAATTACATAAATTAAAACAAAAAGCAGCGTGATAACATGAGCTACTCAAAGCATTAAGTGTTTTATAGCATTTAACAGTTTTACAGAACACAGAAATGCTTAAATGTTAATTTTATGAAGGTAGGAGCAAAGGTGAGATAAATGACAGCACTGTTTGCTTCATTACTCAYAACTGTTTCATTTTGCTTCATACCTCCTACTTCTGTAAGCTGTAATTTTAATATTCAGGCAAATCAAGAAACAGATGTTGTATAAAGTCTTGTTCTTTACGCTTATGTTGCCTGACTAAAAAACAAAAAAAGAACTGACCCATACAACTCAAAGTATGATTTGATTTTAACAATTTATGACTTTTTAATTCACTGGGGAGAGGAAGAGAAAGTACTGCAGCGTTCTGGTTTGAGTGATTGAGACGTCATTTTGCTGACATGTTTACACGACGACGTGAAGAAGCCTGCAGGCCGTTCCATCGAGCTCTGCGGAAACCCCCAGGAGAAATTCTTTAATTACGCTTTGTTCTCTGGGGGCTTTTCTTAAAGTGAAAACAGTTGAATAAATAATGAAGCGGACCTGTTCTCTCATGTAAACAGCGCTGGGGCTTCACCAGTGTTGGTGGCTGAGGTTATTTTTGGCTCAGGTGTGACTGACAAGGACCGAATCCTGCAGCAATCTGAACATTTCATGTGGGCATCACTTTCAATCTCACATATTCACTTATTTATATTCCTGCTGTGTGATGATGATGATGATGATGATGATGATGATGATGATGATGATGATGCTTTAGTTGGATTGAAACTGTGTTGAACTCCAACTTACATCGTAGTGTAGCATGTGTATCTATCAAGTCACACTTGGCAAAAATAAATAAATAAAAAAATTTCAGCAAAATAAAGCAAATGTTTGAGTTGCAGTGTTTGAGCCATAGATTGTCAGATATTGTATCCATAAAATAAAGTGACAGTCTTTCATATAATGCTGCATTCATGTCATGTTGGATTGAAAGCTGCTTTACAAATAAAAACTAACAGTTCTAACTCTGATGTCTCAGACTGCAGCAAGTGATCAAAACACACAAACAAAAATAACTACATTTTTTTCTGTTAGTTTAATGCAAACAGAACTGTACAAAAAAATCCATGCAATGTTGGAAATAAACAAATATTTATTGATTTAATTCTGCAGATTATTTTACCTAAAGAAACATCAGAGAAGCAATAAATGAGCAGACTGCTTTGATCTTGATCAAAACCTAATAGAAACAAAGTAGAAATCTGTAAGTTTCTGTAACATTTCATGAGGAGTTTTATGTTRTCAAATTCAGCTTTTCAGTACTACAAATTGCCATGAATTATTCAGATTTGTGTATACGCTGAACAAAGTGGTAAATGTAAAGTTATGCTCCAGCATAAGCAAGGCGATGGCTCTCTTTGTTTTACCTTCATGACCGTCTGTTCTTCCTCCCTCATGGCTCACGGCAGAAGCACACGTTCCTCCACATCATCACCCAGTCATGTCTGACCATCAGTCGTTTGGAGGACGGCACCTACGGTCCCACCGTGGAGAACTGTAACAGCAGCCCCTTACAGTCGTGGGTTCTCCACAACTACACCCGTCAGGAGGTTGCTAGACGCCTCTACTACAGTCCCACGGATTATTTTCTCTGAACTCATGTCTGCTCTGGGGCCATGTGTTGGGGGGTCCTGAGGTGAGCAGATTAGGACACATTAGCTTTAGAATGAGGCTGGTGATACTTTTAGCTGTAGCTTAGCTTTGTTGGATTGTGTGTTTGAAAATGTTTGGTGTATTTCTGTCGTCCATAGTTGCCTTAGCTTCTGAAAATGTATTTTTAAGTTCCTGTTTTTAAGAGTAAGGGCTGCGAAAATTCAGAGCACAATGTTCTTTTAAAGTTTTAGCCTGTGCCCACAGATCGTTTCAGGAAGCATTAAAAAGCTTTAACTCATGACCTTTTTAAAGTGAACACATGAAGACGGGGCAGAGACACATTAAGCAATGACAGATGTCCTGTCAAGATGCTTCAGTGYATACGATGCTATCTGCAGGACCTTTAGCCAGTTTTCATGCTAAATTAGATCTCATTTGACATTTATTTTCCAGCATAAATATTTTATTTAGATGTGAATATTYGCTGGCTGTCTCCTGGCCAGCCCACGCCTGGTGAGTGATGTTTGAAACAGAGGAGGACGTGTTTATTTTTAGCTGATTATCTACCAGCACACATGATTGAAACGGGCTTGCCATTGTTTACAAGTTCTTTGAAGTGATCCTTCATTGTGAGGCTACCTTTCATGGCTCTGGACTCTCAGATCGCTCTGCTATTGGCCCGAGGCAGCTGTGCACACTGTGTGCCACACACGCATTGTAAAACCCAATGAATCCCAATCATCAATGCTTTTCACCACTCAGCCTGCTTATTTGCGTGGCTCGTGTTAAAAGAAATGTTCTTTTGCTCAGCTTCTCTTTTCATAGCAGGGTTGGTTTTTCTTTTTTTTTTTTTTTTACCCCCCTCTTCCTCCTTTATGCCTGTTCTGTTCTGCTGAGTTATCTCAGGTTTGCACTTCAGCGTCCCACTCCTCCGTACCTCTCAAAAGGCTAAAGAGCATGTAGCACGCCACGGTTTTTGTGTCCAAGAAGTGCAAATTGGGTTTGAATCTCTATGAAATGCTGGTGTGGTGTGTGGCGATGAAGTGACATGCTGTTAGATGGCCTGATTTGTTGCTCACGCTCCCCGGGTCCTTTTGGCATGGCTTTGACAAGAAAAAAAAAAAAAACACAAGAGCAGGGGGAGATGAGGGGGCAACCATTAAAGAAAATGAAACTATTGCTGACTGCCTTGAGATAACAGGAAGCTGCTGCTTTTGTATGTCCTTCAGCAAAAGCTACTTCCACAGCCCGGACAGAGACTCTCGTGTCCTGCAGCGGATCTAGCACGCAGCCTGGTGACAGGGGATGCTCTTCCTTGACTGCAGTTTATGGTCAGAAGGCGTCCTCATTTAATTAGGCGGCCTCAGCTGTGCACACACTCGGTAACTCGCTCCGGAGGCGCCGCTTGGTTTGCTGTGAGGTTAAGATGGGAGTTTTCCTTTGCCCCAAAGCTGGCGTAAAATAATTATGAGCGAAGAACGGGGCCTTCGCACTTCTAGTAATTTTATTAAACGTGGGACATTTCTTCTACTCTCCGCTGTGATATTACTTTCCCGACAGCTTATTTCGCAGGTCTGAATCCTCGAGGAAAGCAAAGAAAACATTACTCTAAATAATATCTCAACCTGTCTTGGGATTTTTTTTTTTGATTATAGGTGGTCAGAGTATAAATACACCCTCAAACACAGTTATTTGTTTATCTTGGTGCTTGTCATTTTCACATGCTAAAAAATACCGTATTTTTCTTGTCAGGATTATGTTACCTTTTTTTTTTTCATTTTTCTAAATAAAGCAACCTTGTTGTTTTTTCAGTCTTTTGGCAGGTGTGGAAGATCGTGTGCCACCTGCTCTTTGTTCTTTCTCTGTTTGAACAAATGAGTCTTGCAGGGCAGTCGGCAATGTGCACTTCAGGAAAAATAAGTGTGTGTGTGTGTGTGTGTGTGTGTGTCTATGCCAGCGAGCACTTATTTGTATCCAGGCAGAGACAGACGGGCCCTCGTGTTTTATTGCTTAAGATCAAAGATGGCCCAAGTGTCTCTGTGAGCTCATTAGTCTGAATAACCTCTGTCAACAGCCAACGCACATTCTTGTTTTAATGAACAATTATAGAATACCTGAAGATATATAAAAAAGTCATTTCTTACAGAGGCCGGGRTTTGTACGTAGATTTTTCTTTTCTTTACATGATTTTATTATTATGTAGCTCGAGAATGCCTCCCAAGACGTTAGTGAATGATTTTGCAGACRGGGTTATGTCTGATGTAACTTCTCTTTTAAGAGATCCATACGTTTTCTATACATTTGCATTACAAAAGCATATGCTATAGTTCCACCTAACRTAGTTGTCCAAATTGTTTCTTCTATAAAACTCTCCATTTCTTTTCCCAAACCAAGTCCTCTGCCCCTCWACATGCAGTCATTAGGCCTGGAAAAGCAACTCAAGTGAGGAGCAAAATTGCGGAAGCGTGTTTCTTCTGAGGACATGAACATAAATGGTTAATCAAGGCCATTGAGTGCTCTCCTGTGGTTGTTCGAGGGGTGGGGGGTCTTCAAAGCAGATAGCTACCAATTCTTTCTTGTGTTGTATGCTGATGTGGAGCTCGATTTTTATTTTATTTTATTTTTCCAGTATTTATGTCAGACTGTTCTGTCGTTATGTGACAAAACAGCAGGCCAGCAGGACTGACAGGTGAGAGGGGACAAACAGCAGGAGAGAAATACAATAATTACATTGTTCCGTTCTGGAGTCTCCGGAAACTGACAAGTGAGCCAGCATGCACGAACCCAAAGTCCTGAAACAGAAGCAGCCTAATGGAATTCAGAGGTTATTAATTTTCCTACAGTGTCGCTCATGAAGGGAGCTTGTTAATCAGTCACCGTCACCAGATCTGGATCTGACAGTTCCTGCAACAACCTGTCTCACAGTCGATTTATTTTGTAGATGAGGGCACGTTTGACCTACAATGTGCGATGTAGCATTTAAATTTTCTTTTTTTTGTAAGTGATATTATGAAAACTCGTTGATAATGGCAGAGTTGTGGCTTTTGATTGATTCAGCTTTCTGTTTTGCTGCTTATATTATGAGTTACAATAGTTATTGCAAATCTTTTTTTTTAACTTAAATAACACAAACACTGATATGAAAAAAATCTAAAGCTGTGAAGGGAGTGGTTTTAATGACTGTTTATTTTTTGCATTTTTGCACTTCCTGTATTGGCTGTCCTGTGGTGTAATGGTTTAAATGTAAATTAAACTAGGGCAATAACCTTTTGTTGCTGGAAGCATGTCTCTTCCAGCTGTTCATATCGTATAGTGACTGAATGAATTGAAAGGGCTCCCTTAAATTCAAAGTGACATGAAATAACACTTCTTTATTTCCATCACTTAATATCATTTCGATTAAAATCCTTTCTTATATAAACATCTATATTTGTTTCTTGGATATGAGTTTGATGATTTGAAGTAAGCTCAGTAAACTTCTTTTGTTTCAGTTGAGTTAATCTAAAATAATTGGTTTAACTGTTTTGAGTAATTTGCAAATTTATTTTAACTTAAACGGTCAAATAAAACTAAACTCAAACCATAAATGAATTAAAAACATTTTTTACAGTGTAAATTATAATTCTTTCACAGTGATTGTTTAGTAAATCACATGTACAGGAGCATTAATAGTGATAAGTTTATAATCCCTGTTATATGACACGGATCACAAAGTAAATGAAGGCAATAATAAAAGAAGTTGTCATAAATGGAATAAGTAAACACTTTAATCAGTTTTATGAGGTCAGTCATAGGTGCACACATAATTTTCATGTTAAGACTGGAAACTAATAAAACAGATTTCCCTCAGGACTCATGACAAAACTGAAGAAAAACAAGACGAACAGCTCATTATGAATGCTTAACCAGACTGGTGTCTATTTCATGTTTGTAAAGAAAAAGTAACAATGTAGGACAAAAACATGACTGGCTGGTCTTTTTGGGAGATGTGTTTTGAGTGATTTTTGGTGGAAATGCAGTCTTAAAAATGGTCCCATCATTTTAAAAATGACCCTATTTTGAGAATTTTTGAGAAGCAGATGGGTTTTATAATGATTTGTTTACATTTTGGTGCAAGAGCTGTTCATAAAGAAAACGTTCCTTTTTAAGTGCAAATGAAAAAGCCAGTATCTTATTATCCAATTGTGACTGGCGTTCATGAGGGAGTTTCTAAAATGTCTCGAAACATGTTGGGTGCAGCCCCACCACGCTAATTAATAGCCTACTTTTTTGTTTTTCTCCTCTCCTTCAACGAAGCCTCAATTTTAATATGATCACACTTACAGCGGCATCATTTCCCCTTTTTCCTGCCTTCTAATCTTTGTCTGTTTACAATCATTAATAGTGGGGCTCGCTGAAAAGCGCTAAATAGTGTTAAAAATGCAATTAGCTGTCAAAATGTACATTTTGTTTGTTTRTTCAGGCTTTTTAAGAAGTTGCCTCATCAGCACGTTTGTGTAATTGCCTGTTTTATTCGTGTCTTTTAGCGACTCACACTGCTTCACGTGAACAGCAACCAGTGCTTGGACATGCCTTCTGAGGAGGACAAGATGGTCCCCACCTTGAGAGACTGCAACGGCGGCCGGTCCCAGCAGTGGCTGCTCCGTAACATGACCCTGAGCGTCTGATCCTGGCCCTCGCAGCCCGCCCTGGCGGTCCACGTCCTCACCAGGTGGCTCTTACCGCAGAACATATGCTTCCTCTTGTAACAGCCTGGCCAGCAAGCACAGCGATCCATACCTTCCACGTCGGCGGCGTCTCCTCTTAACGGCTGGCCGCGGGTGTAAGAGAAGCTGCAGCTGCTGTTTGGAACGCACGATGAGATGCAGCTGTGGGTCTTTGTCAGGTCCAAGCTGGGAGGATGGTGCATGGAGTTTTGTGCATGGATATATCTGACAGCATATCTGCTCATAAAAACTGTTCAGCTGGAGGAGAAACGAGCTCTCACAGGAGTTATTTTTTATTTTATTTTTTTAATATTCTGAGGCACGTCTCTAAAGTGGTCTGCGGTGTTATTGAGAGTGTTTGTTTCTGCTGTAGGTATAATCTTACATCAGCACAGCTGGCTTGCTGCGCATTCATTTTCCACCTGCTTCTGTTAGGATCAGATAAAAGACGAGGTGTTTTGGTTGACTTGAAATTCAGTGCATCACTTTATTTTTTTAAACTCACTTTCAGTTTTATAAACTCGAGCCGGTACTTCTGTTTTATATAATTTTTCAAAGAAAGCTGAATATATTCAGGGAACTATGTCTACGCTTTAGGCTGCTTGGTTTCCTGTGGCAACAGTTGCTGACATCCGAGGGTCGGCGTCATCACTGTAGGTGGCACACTGTCAACTCTTGCTCTGTGGAGAAGGTTGTAGCCCAGGATGACCTCACACTGAAACAAGACTCTGTGGTTTAAGATTTTTGAAGCTTTTTCCTTTAAGCTATAGGACTTGTGCTCCTTTTGAAAGACAGAGTAAAGGAGGAGTTAGCTTTGAAGATGTTAACTAATAAATTTACAGCCTGTTTGGACTTAAAAAAAGAAAAAAAACTTCCCTAAAGAGCTATTCAAAGTAAATATAGTTTAATTTTCTGATCAAAGGTCTAGCCATCCATGCATATTGAAAAAGCTTTGGTGCAAAACTTTATTCTGGACTTTTGCAACAGTATAATGTGCATTTTTCCCTATTTGGGAGATAAAAAACCGAAGCTGCTGTGCTATCCTTTCACATGAAATTACTATTCTTCCCCATAACTCTTAGCAACCTTTTGCTTAATTCAGCTGTCTTTCAGGTAGCACATTACACATGAATATGTATGAGTTTTACCCCAAATTAGCCACCAAATTAGCTTATTTGTAGATGTAAACAGCTCAATCCAAAGTCATGAAAACATTATGCTAATTTTTTTTACAAGACTCTACGCTAATGAAAACATTTACTGCTATTACATTTCATTCTTGTTAACATACTTTGTTAAATGCCACTGAAGGAACTTGTGGTCGCAGACACAGAAAGCAAAGTGAAGACGACCTCTGTTCTTGAAAAATACCTCAAATGGGTTTAAACTTCCAATAAGAAATGTTCTTTTCTTAATTATCAAGGCTGTCTTTTTAGTTTTTGGTTCACAATTTTATTTTTTGTTTTTATCGTTGTATATTTAACTGGGATGACCATGTAGAGGTCTTCTTAAAAACAAGATTTTATGTAAAAATAAATGAAAAAAAAAAAAAAACCAAAACACAACAATTGTATCAAAAATAGATAGAAAAATGATTTTAAAAAAATTATGTGTTTTCCAAAGTTTAAAAACAGTTTTGAGAAATCATCTCATCCTAGAGTGGAATAGTTACATGTGCCTTTTGGGAAAAAAAGTTACTTTTAGCTTTTTTATGTTGTTTTAACTTGAAATAAGTTCCTAAAACATATTAAAATATAATCACATCTGATTTATTTTCAATATTACATTGATTCTTTAACATTTAGAATGAGATTCTGCTCACTTGTTGCATTATCAGCTGGAGGCTGCGAATGTTGTACATAAAACTGAATGCGTTTTTATCACTGTTGTACATAATGAAACAATTATTTTTCTAAGATTCTGACACTTGAACACTTGTGAGAGGAAAAAAGTCATTTAATAGAAAAGGGAAAAAATGGCTCTGCGTTGTTTGAAAAAGTGGAATAAAAACAATGCTTGTCTTCAGTTTTAAAATGGGCTAAAAATGATAATTTATTCCACAAAATAAAATCTCGGACCACCTTAAGGACCTCAGGTGAGCATACTAGAGCGAGTGAAATTGTATTATTGCTACTTGAATACTGAGATCTGCCAAGTGCCTGCTTGGCATTCAGATAAAGATTAGATGACCTGTTTAATATTAAATACCCATGTTTGTTTTTTTATTATCTTACAGTGCACGGTGTTAAAACAGGGATGTTTTGCCTCAGTGTGCTGGTTTGTAAAGTGATGTTACACATCTCACCTTTTTGTAGAGAAAAATAAAATTTCTTTCAAACCTAAAATTATCATTATTTTCTATAGATAATTAATATGCTTTTAGAACATCTCATTACCAGGTTTTGTATAGTGAAGAGCTGAAATGTGGTAAATTGGTGACTTTGTTCCATGAGGACGGTGGACAGCTTCCATACAAAGAGTGACTTTTTTTTCTACGCTTGTAAGGAGCTGGTGATTGTCAGCAGACAGAGGTACTCCTGACGTGGGTCATTATTATTTTTTTGTTCGTTTTTAGCTCAGAAGGTTTGACCTTTCAGAGGGCTCTGCTTTGTTGAAACCTGAGAGGCAAAATTACTCTCCCTGAACAGGACTGGAGGGAGGGGTGTGTGCATTGAACAGTGTGAATATTACMGAGCTCATCGTTTCTTTTAAAGAGCTGGCGTTATTCTTTTAGGGTGTTTTTCCATTCCCGGTGTGTTGTGTGTGTGTGTGTGTGTTTTTGGCAGATTTACATCATACAAGTCCACACAAAAAGAGGCGTCTTGTCTTTGTCATCTGTAATCCGGTCTTTTCTTCCCTTTGCTAAATGCTGGCCTAGTGGCTCGTTTACTCGGCCTCAAACAAAACAGCGAGGCAGCGRCGCTGCTTCACACTTCCATCATTTTGGACCAATAAAAGGCTTTACAGTTTCACTGAGTGGGCCCTAAAGAGATGAGCTAAAATAGGTTTGTTTCCAAAAGAGACACTACTGCAACAATTAAACAGCTAAAACWACTTCAAAATGGTAAGTTTGATCCTTTAAATCGGTATTACATGAGCTTCTCATCTTTTTTGCAGKACTTATAGTGGACAAAATATATTCTGAATTTTTCCAGTGAAGACGTTTAATCATCACCCACAGCTAAAGGGGAAAAAACAAACTTGTAGTGTTAACAAAATATCYGAGGAATCACTGAATTAAATTAAATGAAACATCCATGAAGTGATCATTGAGTTGACATGACCTGAGCTTACATTAAAATGGATTTATCTCTGAATTTTTTTTTATTAAACCAATGTGTGGTAGTTGAGAGTAATCCACAAATCTTTCAAGCTTTAATAGATCATGCAAAATGCTGCAGTATTACATGATATTGTGCATAATGAAAGGCATCAGATGATGTGGATTATTTGTGGGTTGCTATACCCAAATCTATTCATTTCATGCTGATTTTGCACAAATCATTAAATTCCAAATTTACTATAACTTAAAAGCTCTTTACATGGCAACTTTTTATATTGTCAATATATGCATAAGAGCTTTTTATAGTTATTTATGAATCTCTGCCAATGCTAAAAAATGTGCCAAGTGACGAACAATACAAGTTTGCATATTTCTCAGGCTTGAAAAATTAAAACAATTTATACTTTTTTAAATAGGAGGCAAACTTGTGACTATAATAACAGGAACTTTTTTATATTATGCCTGTCCAAAAAGAAATATCTAGCATATCTTTCCCCTGCCCGCCTAAGGGTAAAATCTAAAAGATCTGCTGCAGAAATGTGTGAAGATTTGTGGTTTTATGGTTTTTATGTGCTGCACAACGTCTTGGGTATGAGTTCTCCTTTGAGTCCTTTCATCAAAGTGAATTTGACAGCCTCACAGAAAGTTTTTTATTTATTTTTTTAGCTCCCAACCAAAGAATTAGCTGAGAATATAGCCTCTTCAAAGTGTTGTTGCCATGTATCATGTCGGGGGGGTGTTGTACCAACACATCGCCTTAGGTCAATACGATGCTTGAAGCTTCATGTTTAAACTACAGACAAAAGTATTTCAATAAATATTTCAGTGWTGCTATTTGTGCTGAATTCATTTCCTTCCCCAAGGGTTACAATAAACGGGGTTTGTAAACCTCTCTGAGGTAGTTACAGCGAAGACATTAACAGCTGACAACACATCAGCGCCTCACCACTTCCTCAGCTGTGGCCCTCTGGGGACCAGTGGAGGTTTCAGACGCTCTCGCACCTGTTGGAAACCAAACACGGGCTCGTTAACTGGTCCTGCGAGGATAAGATAGTGGTTTTGTGGTCGAGCCAGAGGAGTCCATTAAGGGGTGTGATGCCTTTGAATACTGGCCCTAATGGAAGTCTTATCAGTTGCTGTCTGAGGCAAACCATGGCTCTCTAAGGTAGGTGACCAACGCAGAGGCTGTGTAATTCTCAGTTATTTAAAGCAGAAAGTCAAGAGTTCAGGATGTGAATGTGGATCCATTGAGACCAGCTTTTTTCCTTTTTTTCTTACCGTTTTGCACAATAAACCTGAACTACAATCTATTCTGGTCATTACTTTCCTCTTTGCCTCTACCAGTACAACAAATCCATTCATACAATGCAAAAGCCTATAAACCTGTCTTTGTGCTGTCTTGGGTCACAGCAGCAGACTGGCACAGTGTCAGCGGCGCTAACGTAAACCTAACCTAGGGTTACCCTTAACAGCATCTTGTGTGAGACTTATGAAGGCTCTGATGGGTGGAAGCTGAGAAAAGAAAGGCAACTCTAAGAAGAAACGTGTCGGAGACGATGACTTTCTGTGCCCGGCGAGCTATTTCTGTTTGGAAGCAGATCGAGGACTGAATATGACCGGCTCACAGGTCAGGAGCTCGACAAGATGCACTCGGAGCATGCAGCTACGTTGCCATGACAACAAGACAATGTCTGGGATTTGTGTTCTGTAATTGTCTTCTGTGTCGATTGTTTAGCATTTACAACCGATTTGGACACAGAACAAATATGGAATAAAGCGATGCAATGAACCAATTTGCTTTACAAGAAATAAAGGCCTATTCCCTGAAGAAATGCACCAGCCACCTTTTATATCAGAGTCTTAGATTAATATAGTGTGTTCAGTTAGCACAAAGAGTATAAGTTGGCTACTAACACCAAATTTTAGTTTAATATCTGTCAGATTGAGTTACAGCCAAGACGCAGGCAGACATTTTCCCCTGGTGACTGTTGAACTAATCACTGAGCTACTTGAAATTAAATAAACTGGAATAATTATCAGCTTCAATGCTTACATGACTTAAATCAGTAAAAAGATTATGAACAATCCAATGATTGCTTTTGTAGCAATGACTCAAATAGTTCAGTTTGCAGCCCCGACTGTCCCCTCACTCCCCTCACTCTTTTGCCCAAATGACCTGACCACTGACCCAGAATCGGCCCATGTATATTTTTCAGAGTGTGGGGGCTGAAACCAAGTTAGATCAATAAAAAAGTTTCACAACTATGTGCTCACAGTAGATGAGAATACTAATGAACCGTAGAGGTTTCACCCAAAACTGGCAGCCAGTTCTGGTTCAGAGCAATCAGAACTTGGCCAAAAAAACTCGCCAAATCGTTTCTACCAGTGTCAGAGTTTTCTGCCACTGAATATTATTTAGTGTTGTTTATTGGACTGGATGGTTGAAATCTTAGGAAAAACAAGGCATATTGGCAATTTAACATTTTATTCATTAAATGAACAGGGAGCTCAGTAGCATGAGGAAGAACCATACACAGCCACAACAGCCTGGTTCCTTCTCACACACTGCTGTGGGGTAACTGCATTTGGAGAGAATCCCGTTGCATAAAGTGAGCGCGTGTGCAACAATATATGAGAGGACACAAAAACTTTGGAGCGAGCACGCAACAAGATTTGCACACGCACAACTGCACAAACCCGCTCGCCTGAGTATTGACTTTTGCGACTTTCACACATAAAATGCTGCAGATAAGTTTGCTGAAAAAAACTTGGAAATCTGTGCTTTACAACATTTGCTGGGTTATTGGCAAAAAGCTGGCCCATGTGGTTGTATTGGTCACTCTTGAACTGACAGCACATATCAGCTGATCTCACTGATGTTTAATGAAATTAAGGTGAGGGCTGTAGGCAGGCCATAGCATGAGCCATATTCAGATCAGTCAAACATGGCTTGGAGCAGACACCAAAAGGTCTTCTTGCACTGCAAGGCCTGGGTCGGCCTGGCTTCAAACCCAGGTTCAGTGTGTTTGCATTAGCCCTTATCACCCAGTTCCACCCCGATTTCTGGAACCCCGAGACCCGTGGTTCTATCTGCTCAGCCCAGTTCCATGTCAGCTTATTGATTGGTTCTCTGACCAGGGTGTTATGTCACACAGATGAGAGCAACATTATGGGAATTGCTTACAACGACTAACTTTACACGATTTTAACTAAACAAAAACTTGAGCGAGCCACCAACAACAACAAGCTAATATTAGCTTACTGTTTCCKTCGTCCTGCCCTCTCGTCTCGAGCGTTATAATGCTGGATGCTCTGGTTCAATCTCTGGTACTTTTCCTTCGAGTTTGGTGTAGCTTATTATTGTTGTGTTGCTAATAAAATAAGATTTGTGCATGTTTAACATCATGATCTCTCCCACAAAAACGCTTCAATTGGCCACTGTTGCAGGGTCCTTCTTCACCTGGAATAGCAAAAGCTAAAAAAAAAATAATAATAATAATAAAAAGAGAGTCAACAGCCTAAATAAATAAGGCAAGTTTTTCATGAACGCAGCCCATAAACTAAACTCTGCTGCTCAACCCACAAATGCATTCTCTTAATGGGGCCCAGTTGAAGGGGAAATGCAGGCTTCCCAATGGTTTAACATTTATTGCCTAGAAGCATTGTTAAAACAAATGAATAATTGACCGAACACAAATTTCCTTACTTTCTGTGCTATGTTTAATAAAGTGCTAATAAAATATTTAGCACATCGATGAGATAAAAGCAGGCATGAGCTCAGACTGTTTTTCTGTCTTGCATCCACAGTGCCCATGAACGTGTTTACCAGTTGTTCTTCTAAAGGAGAAATATAAAGACATCGCAAGTCTTACCTGTCATGGTTTTTCTCCATCCTGTTTCCATTATTCCATCAAGGCCAGAATCTCTCAGCACTCCTGCCTGCATGGCCTTCAAACCCAGTGATGTACATTTTCATCCCTGGTCACTGGAGTTCTTGAATATTCGTTCTTTCTATTTTTTTCCTTCTCTCTCTCTATATATAAATATATACAGTTCCATTAA